GCTTCTTGTCTGCCTTGCTCTAAATATTGTACTACAAATTCTCCTGATCCTCCTCTGCTTTCTTCATCTACCTGTATACCCTGTTCCTGTTCTAACACCTGTTCTCCTTCACTCTCTTTCGGTACGATTTCTTTTCCATTTCTTAAAGTCATTCGGTCTGCCATTTTATCCTAATCTCTATTTATTCTCAAATTTAACTTTAACTACCCCAGAATCTCTACAACTCTAATCACACCAATTTGTTTTTATTTTAATCTGTGTATTATTAATAAATCTGCTTAAAAAAAAACACCCTTATTTCTGTTTTCCCAGAGGCTCCACGTTGTTAGCGCCAATTGTAATTGTTTTGTTTTTATTATTTTTATGTTTTATTGTTAATAAATATAATTTTAATTGAATTGAAGTGAATTTTAAAAGTATGTAGTTCGTTGTTAATATACTATACCTCGGCTAGCTCAATTATTTGTTCTAAGCAATCTGTCACTGTGTGACGTCAACTCTGTAGTCTCCTGGTAGAGTTCAAAAAGAAATTAAACCAAAATTTACTTTATATTTTTGATAAATTAACCCAAATGAAGCACGTTATTTATTAATATTGAACAAATTTAATATAAACAATAAAATTCGTCTGCAACTTGGGTTGCCTTTAAAAATTTACAAAAATAGGAATCGTGTAAACCTTAATGTGTCGTGAAAATAGAATTTGATTACAAAATGTGGAAACTCTCTACAATTACCTTAAATCTAAATGACTATTGCAACTTTATAAAGTGTTTAAATGAAATATAAAGAAAAGAAAACTGAACACTTTATGCCGCTGACTTATAACTAGCATTAAAATATAATCAAAATTTCAAATGATCCCCAAAATTATTATCCAAACTCACTTTCAAACAGTTCTGATTTTTTTTTTTAAAGAAAACTAACTACTCGCAAAATAATCGGTGATACTGGAATATCTATCCTCTCTTCGGAAGTTAAAGGTACGTACTATTATATTTTTATTTTAATGATCATTAATATTTCAATTTTTAAGGCCTATCGCAATTAGTTAATTCATGAATTTTTACTTTTTCAATCTAAATGACATTTCTGCACTCCAATTATAATTTATAAGTCAAAATTTCTCTTACTCTCTGGAACAAATTCTGGATATCTCTATTTGAAAATGTGGAAAAACTAAATTATAATTAAACGATTTTAAAGCACTCCCGGACTATTCCACCTTTTTAGGGCTCTTCCTCCAAAATTTTCGTCGCCTCCAACAACCTATTCTTCCTTGTTCACCGCCATAGCTAGCACCAACCACCAAAATTATTCGTTGCTAACAGCAACCCCCTTTCTTTTTTCATTCCGTCTTCTATTTTATTCAACCATAAAACTGTCCTGTTTTGACATATTTGTCAAACCACATTAATTTCTCATAAGCACTTTAATCACATCTAATTTGGGAATTTATAAAAAAAAATTCAGATATAAAACTTAACAATACTAATATAATTTATTCTTTTCATCTCCACATCATTGTAATTTATTTAACAAAACCCCTATTAATTTAGTTCCCACAGACTTTTGACAGTTTATTTTTCTGACGTTTATTTTTGAAATTTCTATGTTTAAATAATTTTTTAAGAATTCTTCTTTTTTATTCCTTTTAAGGTTTAGACGATTCACCTATACACTAGGCAACTATACTATTCAGAAATTATTAACACTATACCAGGTAAGTCAAAATTAATTTATTTAGCAATTTACTAATCTTTTCTCCCTTTTATTTCAGAGTCGACCCCACATTGTGATGGCTTCATGAAATTCATGAACAACAAACTCATATAAAAATCCCTTTAAGTTATATCCTCTTTGACATATTGAAATCATTTCAATATATATATATATATATATATATATATATATATATATATATATATATATATATATATATATATATATATATAAGTATATTTGTGCTATTAATACTGAGAGGTAGGAATTTTTGTGTTCTAGGACTTCTAGGTTCCGACTATTCAGTCAGCAGTCCAGTCGGACCCGGACTCGTACTTGGACTTATATGTTTTCTGGTGGATCGGTTGTTCCACGGTTCCAATTGTAAAGATCAGTTCCGCGTAATCAGTTTATGTTCATACAATGGCATACCCTGCGAACTCAATGTAAAAAAATTGTTCCATATATATAGTAAGATTCCAAATAACGAGATGGCGCCTGGCACTTATTTCAACTGGATCGCTAGTATATGTGGTAGAAGGCTAAGTAAAAAAGAAAGAAGAATATTGAGTTTTAAGTTTGGCAGTTGTATTTATAGGTTGGTTGGGTTGTATTTTCCACGTGTTTGGATTTGGACATACCCTGCGAACTCAATGTAAAAAAATTGTTCCATATATATAGTAAGATTCCAAATAACGAGATGGCGCCTGGCACTTATTTCAACTGGATCGCTAGTATATGTGGTAGAAGGCTAAGTAAAAAAGAAAGAAGAATATTGAGTTTTAAGTTTGGCAGTTGTATTTATAGGTTGGTTGGGTTGTATTTTCCACGTGTTTGGATTTGGATGTTTGTGCCATTTTGTTGTATACAATATAAATTTTTTACGTTTTTATTTTGTACTCACGTGAAGTAAATGTTTCCTATTTTAGTTTTTAATAGACATTTTTAGTGTATAGATTATTTTAATTTTTAATTAGACAGTTTTAGTGTATAATTTATTTTTGTTCCCTCAACTCTACTTGTTTCAAGGTAATGTGAATAATTCCAAAGGTAGAAAGACAAATATGGTATAACTTTTTTATTCTAGCATATTTCTATTCTAGTGTAATACTCCAATATGATGAAGTTTTTGTGTTGTCAAAACAATTTAATATACTCGAGATTTATGTTAGATTTATTGTAATAAATAATGATTATTACTGTTATTTGTTGGTTTTATTATTGTTCTTACTTTGTCCATATATACTTCTCATTTTTTTAATATCATTGCTACTCATGCTAAATTTGATATGTGCATTTTATTAATTTTTTGTTTTTGCAATAAAAATATTTTTATTGCAAAAACTAAAAATTAAAAGATTGCACATATGAAATTTGGTATGCCAAGCAAAGATCTTCCAATTATTAGTTAGCCATCAAGATCCCAGAGGGCGTTAAATAGATTTGAATTTCGCGCCAATCGTCATTGTCGTCATAATGTTACAGGGCTCTTTCAATTTATGGAGATTAGTTAGATTCCAAAAATGTAGATGGCGCTAGAATTCGTCATTCTACCTAACCTTCTTATCTATGTACAATGGTTCATATTCTCCATTCGCTTAGCTAGGGCATATTTTGACAGACTGTCGGAAACCAGACAGATTGTCGGAAACCTACAACACAACAATTCCTACTTCTCAGTATTAATAGCTTAAGTATACTACTATTGCAGACATCTTTCTTTGAAAAAAAGAAGAATTATTCTAAATAGTGGAAGTGTATACTAAACCCATCAAATTTTCCCTGTATATTTAAAATATACTATTTGAGTTACTACAATTTAATATTATATTGTAGTAAATATTGTTGTTAGTTCTATTTAGTTTATTTAGTTATAGTTCTATTTTGAATTTTATTATTAGGGATAGTTAAAGTTTTCCATTTGTTCTATCAGATAATGCGTTGGTAAGTTTTTCTTAAATAAATATGATAAATGTTCTTTAAAAGTTAATATTTTTAGATGATTAAGGATGCTGTTAAATTACAAGGTAATCAACCTGCACAAAGATTTATTCAAAACACCAACCATTTTTTTAATTATTTGCTCATTCGGCGTAGGTTGATCACTAAAATATATTTATGAAGTTCTGTAAATATATTCTTAATAACAAAAACATTTCAGTTAACATCCATGTATATATAGCATGTATAAAGTTTCTATTATATATAAAATGTATATTATATATAAAAAATATATTTTATAAAAAAGTTACAGTAATTTAGTTTATACCGTTAAGTTACTCCAAATGTAGGCAACCAACTTAAACTTTTTTGGCATTTAGCTGGAGTTTCTTGAGAATATTTTTAATAAACGTTTAATATTTTCCAGTTAATTTATTATTTTTTAAAAGTCATGATAATAATGCTGAATAAGCAATATTTTAAATGATATTTAATCACAAAAGTACTTAATATTATTTTATATAATATTCATAAAGTACGTTTCTAATAGAAATTAGCTAAAATTAGAAAAAAAACTAGTTTATGATAGTAATAATAGAATATTATACTATTTTTGAATTATATTTTTGATGATATTGTATTATCTTTTTGATGCATAATATTTTTTAATTATAATATGAATATTATATTTTTTATCTAACGTACTTTATGAGGATTATATTATATAACACAATATTAAGTACGTCTTGTGATTATATATCATTTGAAATATGGCTTATTCAACATTATTATCATTACTTACTTTAAAAAATAATAATAGAATTAAATATATTCTCAAGGAACTTCAGCATAAATGCTAACAAAAAGTTTAAGTTGGTTGCCTATATTTGGCGTAACCTAACGATATAAACTAAATTACGGTAACTTTTTTATAAAATATATTTTTTACATATAATAGAAACTTACTATCTTTATACGTGCTATAAATTTCTAAGTCATATAAGTTTGCAAAAGAGGTCGACGAAATACTTTAATGAAATGCGCTATGAGCACGTGTGCTTGGTCGTATAGTAATTTCCAGCCACTTCTAGTCTGTCAAAAAGTAACTAACTTCGTAAAAACATAATTACTAAAATCACTAGACAGTGCGAACGGGGATTAGCGAACCGGGTATACATATACATATCAGTTATCCTTATCAGTCATCAGTTGGATATGTATTGTGAATCAGTTCCGGCAAGTTCCAGGATTAGACAGCCATCACGCATGCCATCACGTGTCACTATTGTGAATCTGTCAAAATATAGTCAAAATATGCCTAAGCGAATGGACTATGGACTACAAAAAAATATGTCAACACATTTAAAGTAGATTAAGTTATTTATTCATGTACGGATTTTCCTCTTTGGTAGCAAGTGGTCGCAAATTAGTATTGATTACTGAAGTACGAAGTACATAAAATAATAAAATGGAAGTTGAACAAGAATTTAGTAAGGATACCTGTAAATTAGAAATAGAGTATAATGATTTAGATGATGCTTTTAAAGACGGCTTTAAATGTGAAATTAAGGAGGAATGCAATGGGCAATGTACACCTGACACATATTGTTTAGATTTAGAGAAATATCCTACAAATACTGAAATACACCAAGATAGAAATAACCTTAACCTATTTGAAGAAAACCAAAAAAGTAATAACAAAGAATATGTCCTTTGATAATAAGCTTGTAATAATAGTTATCATTTGTGTTTGAGTTGTAAGCAAAAAAGTTTTGTTAAGACTTAAATATAGGTACCTAAATATAATTTAAGAATATACTACTTAAGAATGTACTAGCAAAGAATATAGAGGCTTATAAGCATCTATATTCTTTGGTACTAGTGTAGTAAGACGGAACATGTCTATGGAGATGAAATTTGCAATGAATTCTGCTTCACTTACTGATGATTGTACAATAATTTTCATTCTCTGGAAAACATTATTTTTTATGTAATTTCTATGTCTCAATTTTTGTATGTCTAGTTGTTCTGTTTGCTCCTATTTATAACTCTTGTTTTTCCTTCTTGTTATGCATCTGCATTTTATCTGTACTTGGAGATGGTCAGATCCACAACATGCTTCTCTTCCACTCTTCTATCAACTTTGTCTATCAAGAATTAAACTCAAAACAATTGATTTACAATTTTATTTACACTTTGTACATGCTTTATTTCATTATATAATACAGCTTACAAAACTATCTCTCCATACAGCAAGTCTTTATATGTAAAAAAATTCAGATCATTCCAAACAGTCTAAAAATTCAAGAAGTAGATCATTCTTCCAAATTGTTTTCAAAAATGTGCATAGTATGTGTTGTCGAGCATGATTGGTGACTCATAGAAGTTTAATAGTCATTATGGAACTCCTGTTTCTAGGACTGTCTTCATGCCACAATAGTATTATTTTGAGAGAGTTATTTTCACAAAAATATGGCTCAATAAATGGGAAGGGATCTTTGAATCATCAATATAACATAATAACAATATAATATAATATAATAACAATATAATATAATTGAGCTAATAGCTACAAAGAAATGTTTGATGCTTAAGACTACTTTAAAAATCAGAAGCCTGGAGTGAATACAATATCTAGCCTAACTAAGTTGAAGTTAAATCTGCAAAGTGCTAAACCAAGAGAATTAGTATAATAGATAGTCCAAGGTTGAGATGAAGAGTTGGAGCAGATAAGAATGCCACAAATAATGTTTTACCAACTGACATCAAACTATAAGGAAATGCTCAGATATAACTTCAGCCACAGCCAACATGATGGTGATATGATGATTGATGTTAAAGATGCAATATTATGTTATTTTATAGCTATGATGGACTTATTGCAAAGGCTTGTTTAAAAAAAAGGTGTCTTAAGCATCTACAAGACAGAAACTCAGGCGTCTAAACATATTTATTATATTATTGGCTAGAATTTTGCTGCCTGGCATTTGATATGCTTTACATTATTATTCTATCTGCATTCGTTGTTCTCTTGTAGTAAATGTTTATAGTTGGTTTATATTTTAGGTGTTACTCATGAGAAGAAAATTAAGATTATGGAAACATTTTTTGAACATGCATCCCATAAAGGATGCTATATGAGTGGAGACACTGAAGAAAAAACTATAAATAACAATATAAAGGCTCAGACTAAACCTTACAAGTGTGAAATTTGTTTTAAGCAATTTTCTAGTGCAGGTTCTTTGAAAACACATTTGAGACTGCACACTGGAGAAAAACCTTATCAGTGTAAAATTTGTTTTAAGAAATTTTCTTTTACAGGTTCTTTGAAAACACATTTGAGAGTGCATACTGGAGAAAAATTTTACAAGTGTGAAATTTGTTTTGAACAGTTTAGCCAATCAAGTAATTTAAAAAAACATTTAAGAGTACACACTGGAGAAAAACCTTACAAGTGTGAAATTTGTTTTAAGCTCTTTTGTGACTCAGGTACTTTAAAAATACATTTGAGAGTGCACACTGGAGAAAAACCTTATAAGTGTGAAATTTGTTTTAAGCAGTTTAACCAATCAGGTAATTTAAGAAAACATTTGAGAGTGCACACTGGAGAAAAACCTTATAAATGTGAAATTTGTTTTAATCAGTTTAGTCAAATGTGTGTTTTGAAAACACATATGAAAGTGCACACTGGAGAAAAACTTTACAAGTGTGATATTTGTTTTAAGCAGTTTAGACACGCATTTTATTTGAAAACACATTTGAGAGTGCACACAGGAGAAAAATCTTACAAGTGTGAAATTTGTTTAAAGCCGTTTTCTGAGGCAGGTAATTTGAAAAGACATTTGAGAGTGCACACTGGAGAAAAACCTTATAAGTGTGAAATTTGTTTTAAGCAGTTTAGCCAAACATGTCATTTAAAAAATCATTTGAGGATGCACACTTGAGAAAAACTTTTCCAAATGTAAAATTTACTTTTAGCAGTTAATTGCAGTAAGTAACTGATAAAAAAACATTTAACTGTGACATGTGAACCATCCAACATTTAGCAAATTCTTCTAAAGATTGTTTAAGTTCAAAGATAAATTCTTCTAAAAATGCAAAGAAGTTAAGTGTTATCAATCAGCAATAGGAAACTTAACAAAGGTGGCAATATAGAGGAAAGCTATAGCTGAAAGGGTTAAACACAATAATCAGAAAAATGTGTTAAAGTGTTAAATAAACTAATTAACTAGTAAAATATTACTACAAAAATTAACAAGAATAATAATTTGATATTAATTTCAGAATATATTTTCATAAAGTTTGTCTGTAGTTTAAATGTGTGTAAGGAAGTAAGAGGCATAACCCCCTCTGGGACCCGTATAACCTTGTCGCTGGTGAGAGAGCTATGGGTGTATCTGTGATCACGACTTCTTTGGGAGACTGCATGTGGACTTGCCCTTCCACTGTAGCATTAAGGAAACAAACCCTTAAACTAATTAGTAATTTATAACATAGTTTAAATGTAGATATTCACTTTCATTTGGAATTAAAAGTAGGTCAATAACAAATAACTATACATTTTTACTATTTTTTAAACATCATATAAGTATTATGATATTATGTAAACTGACTTTGTCGACTTATATAAAAAAGCATGCTTACTTTTTCTCAAATGTAAGAAGTAAGAACAGCTTACTGATCAGTTGAAATACCACCCTGTGCAATGCAACCTACCAAAATTGTAACACATTAAAGTTGTATTTAAAGTGCGAAAAGTATTATCTGTGTTTCCTTGGTCAATGAGGTGAAAGGCAAACACGGCACCACCCTGAATCCAAAACACTCCAGGTCACCTTTAACAGGACACAGCCTGGTATGGTCTTTAAAAGATTTACCACGTTAATTAAATTAAAAAACACATTTTTGAATGTGTTTTTTAATTTAATTGACATCACAAACCTATATCGAAAATAGAACATCTATCTTTTTTTTCTTTAAGTTTTTTTTAAACAGTATTAAAGTCATCTATTTATATAAAAGGCTACGCTGATAAGTCACATTTTTTGTCCAGTAAACTAACGACTCCATATAGGAAAAAATCATCCTAGATGGATGTTTCCATTTCATCCAATGAAATCAAATTTCAATCATCCCGTTCTTGAAACAATACATTTAATTAATAATAATGTATTAATTACATATTAATATAATTAAAAATTATTTTAATACTATGTTTAAGGTAGAATTTAATACAAAATAATTTAAAGCTTTCTGTTAGTTTAGATTTAAAATCCTAACGCGATCTGACAAAGAAATAGGAACTACTGACATTTCAACCTATGAGTCAATCATATTTTGAAATGATACATTTAATTACCAAAAATATTAATTATACATTAATATAATTATTAAATAATATTAATATTTTTAAGGTACGATTTAATACAAAATAATTTAAACTTTTATGTGATTTTAGATTTAAAATTCTAGCTGTCATCTAGGAAAGAAAGCTGAACAGATTAACTGAGATAAAAATTGAAAGAGCATGCCATATAATACCTATTAATTAATGTTACTAAACATTCTTGTTAAGTTTTTAAAAAAAGTTTAATTAATTTAAATATAATTTATTATAATTTAAATTAACTTTGATTTTTAAGCTTTTATTCAGATACCATTCCATCACAAAATTATAAGAAAATATTCATAAAATTAAAATCTGCTTGCTAAACATCTATTGCAATCTGGCAACTACCTTTGACAGTATTGCCAAGTTTATCTACTAATCTACCAAAGACCAATTATAATTTTTTTTTCTAATAACTAACCGCAACTAATATAAAAAAAATATTCATTCGTTCGTGTTTTATATGAATTTAAAATTTTTTAAAAAATACCCGATTTTATAAAATAATATTTAATATCTTTTAATATTTAATATTCTTTAGATTTAGAGGAGTATCCTACAAATACTGAAATACACCAAGATAGAAAGAAATTTAACCCATTTGAAGAAAATCACAAAACTGAAAAAAGTTAGTAACAATACATTATTTGTTTTTAACACTTAATATACATATAATTTAAGTAATTTATTGGTAAGGATGGTAAACAGAAAATAATATTAACATATTTCTTGCTTACAATAGTAGTAAATTTGCCTATGGTAACTAGAAACTAAATGTACAAAATTAACCATGAATTTACTAATAAGTTTGTAAAACTACATTAGCATAGACAATTTTACTGGCACTGCTGTTATGGAAAATAATAATTATTGTTAGTGCTGGTGCTGGTAATTTTACAAACTGAAAGACTATTTTGCAGTTGCCAGTAGGTAAATTTACAAATTTTTGGGAAAGTTGTGTGGAAAAAAGCAATGAGTACTTAAATGCATACAATTTCATTAAGTTAAATTTACTGATGTTAATAGTAATATGAATTTGAGTATTACATTGCAGTTTTTGAATAGTTATTTTACATGGTTTAATAAGGGTTACAATTTCTTGGGGTAATTAAATCAACAGATTTCCTGAAAAAAATAATTACAGTGTAATGCAGTACAATCATTTAAAATACCATAGGTGAGAGATCATGACTGTTATGATAAATAAAACCAAAATTATGAAAATCCGGTTTCCTTAATTTTTATAAAATGGTTTCTAAACATCTATGCCCAATCCAATAATACACCAAAATCTCTAATCTCAGTAACTAAATCCAATACTACATTATTAAGACCATATCTATTAGCTATTAAATTATTTATATGACCAAATAAAATACAAGAACATTTAGTTGGATTTAAGCTCAAACTATTTTGTTTTGACCATAAACATATTATTTACATCATCTTGCAAAAGATCTCTATCCGATTTATCATGTATACAATGAAATAACTTAAGATCATCAGCAAATAGCAGAAAGTGTGAATTTTTGATAGTCTTACCAATATTGTTAATGAACAAGTTAAAAAACAAGGGACTGCAGTGTCAGACACCAGAACAACAATGGAATTCTTTTGAAATATAATTGTTAATAAGAACTTGCTGTGTACATCCCATCAGAAAACTTCTAATCCAATTAACAACAGGGTCACCAAAGCCAGGTGTATGAAGTTAGGATTTATTTGTAAATCTGTACAAGATCAAATTATGAATATTATTATTTATTTAATGCAATATTTAACAATTTTAACCAGTTATGCTACTGATAAATAATATTGTCTTAAAACTAACAAATATTTCCGTTTAGATCAACGAATTTTTAAGAAACTAACTACTAACGAAATATAGGTATATATGCGTCATAAAAGCTTTAAAAACCCTTTATAATGCCTGCCTCTTTGAAGGAATTGCACCAGAAAAATGGAATAGTGCCATTATGATAATATTGCACAAAAAAGTAGATGTAACATAAATTAGAAACTACAGACCTATCAGCTTGTTATCTTATTTATATAAGCATAACCTAAGCTGGATTTTCAGCAACCATTAGAGCAGGCCGGATTTAGGAGTGGCTTTGGAACGAATGACCACCTACAAGTAATACAATCCTTAATAGATAAAGTTACAGAATACAACAAGCCACTGATATTAATAGCTCCATGTTAAGAGCTATATATATATATAGTATATATATATATATATATATATATCTATATATATATATATATATATATATATATATATATATATATATATATATATATATATATATGTATATATATATATATATATGTATATATATATATATATATATATATATATATATATATATAAGGATCACTCAGACGAGTGGTGGGTTCTTATATCGGTCTCTAGGTGGAGTAATAAAAGACAAAGTTGACAGGCTACTTTATCTATTTTGAAGACGTTTCGCTTTTGAGTTTTGAAAGCATCATCAGTTCATCTAAAAAGTACAATATGAGAACCACACAATCATGGAAACGATGTTAATTGTTACCTTAAAAAGACATGTAGCAGTCAAAGTTATTAACAATAATGTGAATGAAACTTAAGTAAATGGACATAATACGCTGATCTTGTATAAACAATTAAGTAACTAACAACATATATGAACTTATAAAAATTAGCACAGCAAATGACCATGTGGTCTAAAGTAAATTAAATGTTATTTAATATTAATTAGTGAGAAAGAACCAAGAAAATCATAGACAACTTCCAACTATTTTATGATTATTAAGCTTTGATTTTAACTTTAGGTAGCATTATAAGTGATATTAATAAAAATTATAAAAGTAGTGTAAATGAAGTTAAGGATCAAAGCCCTACAGTTGTCGCCGGAAAAATGGAGTTAGATGAACCGGAATGAACTAAACCGCGAAAAGACAGCCAACCTTGAGGTCAAAATACTTTTGACAGATCAGCAAGGTGGAGGTACCAACCCAAATAATTGGGCGGTCAATGTAAAAGTTTAAATGAGTTTGGATGACTACCCGGTTGTAAAAGACAAACCAGTGAAAGAAATTGGTATTGTAATAGCAACTCCTCTCATTAATCAGTCTAGATTTACAAACAGGAGATTTTCATTCAACCTCATATATAAGTAATAACGTTAATCATTATGGCTAGATAATCAGCCAACAGGTGGTTAACGACACATTAACTTCCAACAGCCCAAGGTTTATGTACTTGGAACTGTAATTTGCAAAGGATTCTATGAATCAATTACATTATTTGTATTATTTTATTAAAGTATAAATTGTTCACACTAATCTAAGTAATCAGTGTATGAAAATGCAATGTAAGTTGCATATGTAATAATAAGTTAAGTAAAGAATATTTAATTATTTTATTTAATTATTTTATGTATTTAAATTATTTCATGAAAAATGGAAAAAAAAGGTTCAAGTAGTACACCTAATATGACATTTAATATAGTGAAAAGATCATGAAGCCTAATTCTGCAAAATTAAAGCATGATATATTTGGCTCAAGTTACTTATGTCAGTTCTCTTATTTAAAGCATTAGGGTGTTTTAGTATTGAACACATTTCCAAAAACTGTCTTTTAGCTAGTTTTTGGAAATTTTGACCAAAAAATATTTTATAAACACCTAGAAATTATCAGATATCTAATAAAAATCTTCGTTTTTTCTAAGGAACTCAATATTTCGCTATTTATTTTATAGCTTCATCAGTGGTACACTGTAAAATAATTTTAAAATTACAGAAATGGCTACATTATAAAACAGACACTGGACAATTAAGTAACATATATTAATCTATTGAACAAAATTTATAAATATTGAAAATAGCTAATATTCACCTTAATAACAACCAAACTTAATAATTCATCAAAGAAATATCATTCTTCTAACGTTTCTTTTATTCCTATTTTTATTTTTACACTTGAAATCATTTTAATTTTTTCTACCTCTTTTCCTCCTTCCTATTGGGCTCCAATCCGAAATCGTTGTTATCCACCTTGTATGATCTGTTCATCTCACATGTCCATACCAAATTAAACGTTTTTCTTCGATGTAGCTGAGTATGTCCTGTTCTACTACCATTCTTCGTTTTATCTCCTCATTTCTGATTCGATCTATTTTTGTCACTCTGCAGCTTCTTCTCATGAACTCCATTTCAGTTGCTGTGATTTTGGACCTGTTTCGTTTATTTATCACCCAATTCTCTGTTATAGGTCATTATACTGCGCACCAAAGTGTTATAAATTCTCTTCTTTGTATTTCTGGTAATCTGTCTATCCCACAGTACCCCGTTTATGTGTTTAATACATGTTCTTGTCTGTGCTAATCTGCTGGTTAGCTCTTGCTCGATGGTTCCATTTTTTGAGAATATGAATCCTAAATATTTGAATTTTTCAGTGCCGTTAATTTCCCTATTATCGTCCATTTCCAAGTTTCTCACTGGTTCTTGCTCTGTTGTTAAATATTCTGTCTTTTCTAGGTTTATTTCTTTTCTCTTAGTTTGATACTGTTTGATATTTTGTTGTCTCAATTTTTGTATCTCTAGTTGTTCTGTTGTTTGTTCCTATTTGTAACTTCTGTGTTTATCCCTCTTGTTTCACTGAATTCTGCATCTTATCTGTACTTTTAGATGGTCAGATCCACAACCTGCTTCTCTTCGACTCTTCTATCGAATTTGTCAAGAATTAAAGTCAAAACAATTGATTTACAATTTTATTTACACTTTGTATATGCTTTATTTGATTATATAATAGAACTTACAAAACTGTCTCCCCATACAGCAAGTCTTTATATAGCTATGTAAGAAAATTCGAGATCATTCTGAACAGTCTAAAAATTGATAAGTAGATCGTTCTTCCAAATTGTGTTCAAAAATGTGCACAGAATGTGTTGTCAAACTGATTGGTGACTCATAGAAGTTTAATAGTCATTATGGAACTTCCGTTTCCAGGACTGTCTTCATGCCACAATAGTATTATTTTGAGAGAGTAATCTTCACATGGCTCAATAAATGAGAATGGCATCTTCGATATAACTTTGAGCTAATAGTTACAAAGAAATATCTGATTTTTAAGACTACTGTCAAACCCAGAAGTCTGGGGGAATAGAATACTAGCCGAACCAAGTTGAAGCTAAATCTACACTGTGTATTCTATTGACAAAAACTGAGAGAATTAGATTAATAGATAGACCAAGGTTAAGATGAAGAGTTGGAGCAGATAAGAATGCTACAAATAGCGTTTTACCAACTGACATCGAGCAATAAGGAAACGTTCAGAGATAACTTCGATCACAGCCAACATGCGGGTGATATGATGATTGATGTTAAAGATGGAATATTGTGTTATTTTATAGCTATGATGGACTTATTGCCAAAGGCTTGTTTAAAAGAAAGCGGCGTCTTACGCATATTCAAGATAGAAACTCAGGTGCCTAAACATATTTATTATATTATTGGCTAGACTTTTGCTCCCTGACATTTAATATGCTTTACATTATTTATTATTCTATTTGCATTAATTGTTCTCTTGTAGTAAATGTTTATATTTGGTTTATATTTTAGGTATTACTCATGAGGAGAAGAAAATTAAGATTATGGAAACATGTTTTGAACATGCATCTCATAAAGGACGCTATATGAGTCTAGACACTGAAGAAAAAACTATAAATAACAATATAAAAGCTCAGACTAAACTTTACAAGTGTGAAATTTGTTTTAAGCAATTTTCTAGTGCAGGTTCTTTGAAAACACATTTGAGACTGCACACTGGAGAAAAGTGTTACAAGTGTGAAATTTGTTTTAAGCAATTTTCTCAGGCTGGTTCTTTGAAAACACATTTGAGAGTGCACACTGGAGTAAAACCTTATAAGTGTGAAATTTGTTTTAGGCCGTTTTTCTCGATCAGGTCATTTAAAAGATCATTTGAAAACGCACAGTGTAGAAAAACTTTACAAGTGTGAAATTTGTTTTAAGCAGTATAAAAAAGCTAATACTTTGAAAATACATTTGAGAGTGCACACTGGAGAAAAACCTTATAAGTGTAAAATTTGTTTTAAGCAGTTTAACCAAACAAGTCATTTGAGAACACATTTGAGACTGCACACTGGAGAAAAACCTTATAAGTGTGAAATTTGTTTTAAGCAATTTTCTCTGCCTTGTTCTTTGAAAACACATTTGAGACTGCACACTGGAGAAAAACCTTATAAGTGTGAACTTTGTTTTAAGCAATTTTCTCAGGCTTGTTTTTTGAAAACACATTTGAGAGTGCACACTGGAGTAAAACCTTATAAGTGTGAAATTTGTTTTAAGCAATTTAAACAAGGTCATACTTTGAAAAGACATTTGAGAGTGCACACTGGAGAAAAACCTTATAAGTGTGAAATTTGTTTTAAACGGTTTAACCAAGCAGGAAGTTTAAAAAATCATTTGAGAGTTCACACTGGAGAAAAACCTTATCAGTGTGAAATTTGTTTTAAGCAATTTTCTCATGCTTGTTCTTTGAAAACACATTTGAGAGTGCACACTGGAGAAAAACCTTAGTATAAGAGCAGTTTTCTCGAACAGGTCATTTGAAAAATCATTAGAGAATGCACACTAGAGAAAAACTTTTCCCAATGTAAAATTAGCTTTAAGCAGTTTACTATAAAAAAGATTTGAGTGTGATGTGCGAACATGCCAACGTTTGGAAATTTTTTGTAAAAATTGTTTTAAGTTAAAACTAAATTCTTCTAAAAATGCAAACAACCAAAGAATGTAACTGTTATCAATCAGCAATAGCAGACTTTACAAAGGTGTCAATATAGAGGAACGTTGTAGTTGAAGGGTTAAACACAATAATCGTGAGAAAGTGTTGATGCCAAGTAATCTAATCAACCGGTAAAATATTACTACAAAAATTAACATGAATATAACTTTGATATTATTAATTTTAGAATATATTTTCAAAGAACCTTTATGTAGTTTAAATATTTCTACGGCAGTTAGGGGCATAACCCCCTATTGGGCCCCTATAACGTTGTCGCTGGTGAGAGATCTAAGAGTGTAGCTGTGATCACGACTCCTTTGGGAGACTGCATGAGGACTTGCCATTGCACTGTAGCATTAAGGAAACAAACCCTTAAACCAATTAGTATTTAAGACATAACTTTGACTTTAATAATGTTAAAATCTTGGAACAAGTTGATAATTATAAAAATCGACTTTTCCTTGAAGTGGTAAACATTAATAAAACTCTTGAATCTATCAATTATAAGACAGATACCAACCATTTAAGTAATATCTAATGAAACATACTAAACAATATACATTTTGTATATGCTTTATTCAATTATATAATACAGTCTTTATATAGCTATCTAAGAAAATTCGAGATCATTCTGAACAGTCTAAAAATCAAGAAGTATATAATTCTTCCAAATTGTGTTCAAAAATATGCACATAATGTGTTGTCAAACATGATTGGTGGCTTATAGAAGTTTAATAGTCATTATGGAACTCCTGTTTCGAGAACTGTCTTCATGCCACAATAGTATTATTTTGAGAGAATAATCTTCAAAAAAATACGGCTCAATAAATGAGAATACATCTTTGCATCGTCGATATAACTTTGAGATAATAGTTACAAAGAAATATCTGATGCTTGAGACTACTGTAAAAATCAGAAGCCTGGGGGAATAGTATATCTAGCCGAACAAAGTTTAAGTTAAATCTGCACTGTGCATTCTATTGACAAAAACTGAGAGAATTAGATCAATCACCATCATGTTGGTCACAGCCAATATGATGGTGATATGGTGATTAATGTTAAAGATGGAATATTATATTTTATAGCTATGATGGACTTATTGCCAAAGGCTTATTTAAAAGCAAGCTCTGTCTTACTCATATACAAGACAGAAACTTAGGTGCCTAAGCATATTTATTATATTATTGACTAGACTTTTGCTGCCTGACATTTGATATGCTTTACATTATTATTCTATCTGCATTCATTGTTCTCTTGTAGTAAATGTTTATAGTTGGTTTATATTTTAGGTGTTACTCATGAGGAGAAGAAAATTAAGATTATGGAAACATTTTGTAAACATGCATCCCATAAAGGACACAAGTGTGAAATTTGTTTTAAGCAATTTCCTAAGGCTTGTTCTTTGAAAACACATTTGAGAGTGCACACTGGAGAAAAATCTTACAAGTGCGAAATTTGTTTTAAGCCATTTTCTCAGGCTGGTTCTTTGAAAACACATTTGAGAGTGCACACTGGAGAAAAATCTTACAAGTGTGAAATTTGTTTTAAGCAATTTTCTCAGGGTGGTTCTTTGAAAACCCATTTTAGAGTGCACACTGGAGAAAAACCTTATAAATGTGAAATTTGTTTTAAGCCGTTTTCTCGATCAGGTCACTTAAAAGATCATTTGAAAAGGCACACTGGAGAAAAACTTTATAAGTGTGAAATCTGTTTTAAACAGTTTAGTCAAGCAAGAATTTTAAAAACACATTTGATAGTGCACACTGGAGAAAAACGTTACAAGTGTGAAATTTGTTTTAAGCAGTTTAGAGACGCATGTACTTTGAAAAGACATTTGAGAGTGCACACTGGAGAAAAACCTTATAAGTGTAAAATTTGTTTTAGGCAGTTTAGCCAAACAGGTCATTTAACAACACATTTGCGAGTGCACGCTGAAAATAATACTCAAGTGTGAAATTTGTTTTAAGCAGTTTGAAAATGCAAGTACTTTGAAAAGACATTTAAGAGTTTACAGTGGAGAAAAACTTTATAAGTGTTAAATTTGTTTTAAGTAGTTTAACTAAACAAGTCATTTAATAACACATTTGATAGTGCACACTGAAAACAGTCCTTACAAGTGTGAAATTTGTTTTAAGCAGTTTTGTCAATGAGGTCATTTGACAAAACATTTAAAAACACACACACTGGAGAAAATCTTTACAAGTGTGACATCTGTTTTAAACAGTTTGGTGAAGCAAGTAATTAAAAAAAAAAACATTTGATAGTACACACTACAGAAAAACCTTCCTTATAAGTGTGAAATTTGTTTTATTCGGTTTAATCAAATCTGTGATTTAAAAACACATATTAAAAAGCATACTGGAGAAAAACCTTAGTTAAAAGTATGAGAGCAGTTTTCTCGAACAGGTCATTTGAAAAATCATTAGAGAATGCACACTAGAGAAAAACTTTTCCAAATGTAAAATTAGTTTTAAGCAGTTTACTGTGCAGCACCTGATAAAAAAATATTTGAGGGTGATGTGCAAAGATTCCAACGTTTGGCAAATTTTTCTAAAAATGCTAAGAAGGTCAGTGTTATCAATCAGCAATAGGAGACTTTACAAAGGTGTCAATATGGAGGAACGTTATAGCTGAAAGGATTAGACACAATAATCGGGAAAAAGTCTTGGTGCCAAATGTTAATCTAATCAACCAGTAAAATATTACTACAAAAATTAACATGAATATAAATTTGATATTATTAATTTTAGAATATATTTTCAAAGAACCTTTGTGTAGTTTAAATATTTGTAAGGCTGTTAGGGGCATAACCCCGTCTTGGGCCCCTATAACGTTATCGCAGAAGTGCTCCTATGAGCCACCATATAACAAATGTGTTGGTCCCATCGGGACAACGTGGCCCAGTGAACCGTACTAATGCTTCTGTGCGCCGTTGGTTCGTCGCAGTAAACATAACCAAACATAAATAAACGAATTTGCATTGCCTATTGTTCTTGTTGATTGTTTTTAATTTCAATAAATTGAAAGAATAAATTGCTGTAAGTATTAAATAATGTTTAAATTACAATATTTTTACAACATATTGTGTAATTTTAGATGTCTCGACGTTCTAAACCTCTGACAGCGTGAATTGCAAAACATTGCAATCAATTCTGGAGAACTCTCCGATGACGATGATGAACCATTCGAAGCTGCTGATAGTGAGTACCTGTGTAGTTCAGAAGAAGAATCAGATTCGTCACATTCAGAAGAAACGGTGGAAAATGTACGAAAGTTTTTACAGAGAAAAAAAATAAAATTAGATTCACAACCTACTCGTCATGTTCACGATAATATCAATCCAGGACCGAACTTAAATTCAATGCATGATCCAGAACAACCTAATCATAATCTTCAAGGTAATATCGTTCCAGGACCGAACTTAAATTCAATACTCGATCCAGAACCGAACTTAGATCCACACCGTAGTGAAGATCCAGTACCGAATGTAGAACCAAATTGGGGTCCAGTAGTAGGTAATTATAAGCTAATAGCACCTTTTTCTATTCCGTCAGGAGTAAATGATGAAGTAGCTGCAATGTTGGCAAATGGTACGCCTGGAGACTTTTTTGATGCTGTGGTCGATGACAGAGTAATTAGTATGATTTGTAACCAAACAAATATATATGCAACTCAGTCTGTACTGACTGCAGACGCAACACCAAGCTCTCGCTTACATGACTTAATTCCAACGACAAATATTGAAATTAGAAAATTTTTAGGACTGGTTGCCTGGATGGGTTTAGTGAAAATGCCAAAAATCGCAGACTATTGGAGTAACGATAACCTATTCTACAATAATTTTGCACAGAATGTAATGTCTAGAAATCGATTCGAGATGCTGTTAAGGATGTTTCACTTTAATGATAATTTATTGGCAGATACAAGTGATAAACTGTATAAGTTAAAGCCACTTGTCGACATTCTGACTTTATACGTGCCGGACGAATATGTCTGCATCGATGAAACCCTATTACGCTTTAGGGGACGCTTGGGGTTTAAACAGTACATTAAGACAAAAAGACACAAATATGGTGTAAAAATTTTTAAAGTATGTTCTGGATCTGGATATACTTACAATTTCAAAGTATATGCAGGGAAAGAAAATAGTTCTAACGTCACTCCAGAAAGCGTTGTTCTGTAACTTATGGAGGATTTAGTACATCAAGGAAGAACTCTGATAACCGACAATTGGTATACAAGTTTACCGCTAGCAAAAAAAATGTCCGTCGATACACACCTGATAGGAACTGTTCGAAAAAATCGAAAATATTTACCCCAAGAAGTAGTAGCTGCAAAATTAAATAAAGGGCAGATTGCTTCTATGGAAAGTGATGATGGAGTGACCATTACGAACTGGAAACACAAAAGAAATATTTACATGCTTTCTACTAAACACGGCAATGAAATGGTCGAAGTATCTTGTAATCGACAAACTAAACTGAAACCCAAGGTGGTAATAGATTACAATAAAGGCAAAGCGGCAGTAGACTTATCTGACCAAATGGGAGCGTATTCCAACCCCCTAAGGAAAAGCGTAAAATGGTTTAAAAAAGTGGGGTTTGAATTATTATTAACTACATCAGTTATAAATTCTTTTTTAATATATAAGCTTGTAACAAATAACATGTCGGTGACAGATTTTAAAAAACAAATAGTGAAACATCTAGTTACATATAAAGAAACCACTACTGTACCACGAAGTGTGTCAAATAATCACCATCAGCTTGAACAGAAGGCAGAACATCAAAACTAAAAAGGTAGACACCTTTTGCAAAAGCTGTGACAATGAACCTTTTCTGTGTATAGGTTGTTTTAATGAATTACATAGAATTTAAATAACTTTTTTTATTGGTTGTTTTACATTATTTGATTTTTCTGTTGTCGAAAAACGTGTTTGTATCAATAAATATCATCCCAAAGTTGTAAATAACGTTTTTGACTTATATGGGACCACATTTGTCATACTCCATAAATCGCACAAATTCTCTATACAGCACATAGCTTGTAGGCCTCGTTGGTCCATTCCCATGGTGATTTAATACTAAATAAACACCAATGGCTCGGTACATATCGGAATAAATGTTGGTCCCATAGGGCCAACATGGCCTGTTAATGCAATACTTGCGTTGGTCCCATTGGACCAACGTGGCTTATTG